ATATTTTTGTTTATTAGTTGCATATAACTAAAAATACCTGTGATATTTTAGGTTTACTAGCAAAAACATAACTGGGGCAATATATTCGTTTCTTCGAGACAATTAGGTTATTGGCAACAGGAGGCTATGCGATTAAAACGTGTCCATTTAGAGAAGATGAATGAATTACATTTAAATTACTGATGGGAGATTTACATGGCCAAAAAGGTGTGGATTCTTACTTTACACCGGTACAGTGGTGGTGTAAGATGGATAGATGTCACTACACCGGGCAGAAACAGTGCACCGCCTCCTTGCGTATATTCGCCTTAGAGCGTTTAAACAGGCCAGGCTCAGTGGTGGTTAAGCGCTGGTGCACGTATATATTATATGCATATTAAATATCTTTTGTAAATTAAATAACTAAACGCAATGGTGTGCAACGACAGTGTTTTATTCGATAATCCTTCTGATTTATACAGGCTTTCTCTTCTAGGAGAGCCGAAGGAATACGGGGATCAAGGATCAAATGCGCATTGTGTACGTTTCAGATTTGGTGGAAACTTGGTACCAACTCTTGGTACGTTGCCATATCAGCTCCCGAACAGCTGCGTTAAATTTTGTCTCGCCTAATTTAGGTTCGATTCATACCGACAAAGTCTTTGATCGTTAACATGACGTGGGACATCTTATCCGCCTATATCTCGTGGATAGACATCAATCTGGTTGCCAGCGAACGCTTCATCGCGTTGCTACTGAAATGCCTGGGGGACATTGAATTCCTGGAGGCGGCCACCGACTGCCTCTGTTCTTTGGTGACCAAAGGCATGGATGCAAAGTTAAAACTGCAGTTGATTGTTGCTCTTGAAGAAGCGTTGAAACGGTGCCCTCTCTTCACAGTGTCCAGTGATGTACGTGCGAATCCCGACAAGTCTTTGTGATTACTTTCGAGTTAACTACTCTAAGTGACTTCTGTCCAGTTTCGTTGAATATTCAGCCTTGATCATTAATGTTGTCTGACTTCTTTGGTTCTGTATGGTATAAATGAAGTCCGAGTTTTCACTATCAGAATATTCCTTCTAGGAGCACATTTAGGTTAAAACAACAATTTCTTTCAGGATTGGGTTCTCAGCCTTCGTTTCTGAATATCATGCTAAATCACTTTTGTTTAAATTGCATTTTATTTTAATATTCCATACTTTGTCTAACATTAAGGAAAACATGTGCATGATATCCTTGCTTTCTATGTCTGAACTACTCGTAGTCAAAATTCTGTAGTTATACAGTCATAGTTGTCTGACGGTTTGGGTCATTACTGTAATACCGGCGTTTCAGTCAAATAATAATGACCATCATCGGAGCAGTCAATGAGCATAGGTGTGCGGAAACAAGTTGCCTAAAATATCTCTTTGAAACAAACGGTTAATTCGATCCATTATTCAGAAACGTAATGGTTAATTTGAAAGTCCTTGACGACAATTAATTGCTTATCATAATCATAACATTTGGCGCTGCCTATCTTGTTTGCGTCACTTCAGCTTACTGCTTGCCCTGATGGTGGCCCACGGGGGATATTATAAAATTCTTGACATTATATATAGGGCCAAATCATTGATTACCCGCTTTGACGCTTAAAAAAGATAAAAAAGCAGTGAATTACACTGCATTCGTTTACCACTTTCGTTGTTGCTTTCATTTTCCACTGTTGTTTCGGTTCTAGAGTACCTCTGATGCCGTGTACCAGTCGATCGCCAATACCGCCAATGCAGTGGGATGCGAGCTGCTTGAATGTTGGGATAAGTATGAATCAAATTTCAGTATAAAGTAGTTATTTTTCGTCTTTTTTAATGTTTGTTTACCGAACGTGTTAAATGATACTAATTGATAATTAGTATGTAGAAAAACAGCATAAAAACGGTTTGTTTACTTGATCTGTCGTGAGAAATCACTATCAACGTTTGCTCTCGTTGGCCTTTTTCAAGGTGAGGTCAGGTGGTCGTTGGTTGACAGCGATCTCATTATCTGCAGCAGCTGATTTGTATCGAGTTGCAGGGGGAGATTTAATTCATGCTACTGCTTTAATGGCTTTTGAGCGATAGGCATGACAAGAATCATTCCACCTGTGCAGAGTTCCTATTTTTGTTATGGTTAGCACTTCTGCGCGGGAATGAAGTATTCTTCCTTTGAGTGAGTACCCTTCTCATGTCATGTGCTGCATAATTCCGGTAAGTCTTTTCGCATTTGAGCTTGGCTTTGTGGGGACAAAGTTGTGCATTTCGATCCTTTCAACGCTCAGTTGTGTTCATCGGTTTGTATTTCCTCTAAGTTGAAAGGTGAGTTTTTTCCCTTTGAGTCAGGGTTTTTCCTGTTTCTGTGATGTAAAATTTTTCGCAACCAAATGCTAATTTACCTTTTTGGCCGAGAGAGTCTTTACTCAGAGAATTTTGTAACAAAGAGTTTTATTCATCTTGTCTTCTATATACTTTACGTTATGCTTACCAGTTGAAATTTTTTTTTAGTGGGTGAAAACAATTTCTGTTCCAGTATAGAATTCGTTTGAAGTGTGCGGCTATAGTATGCTTCTTCTTATAAAATTGTTTGAGCATTTTTAGACATTACATTTATGAGTTTATGGGTCAGAATGTTCGCCTGAGGTTTCCACTTGAGGCATTCTTCGATATTCACACTCGGATATCGTGTCAGGTTGCAGCCGTTGCATTCTTGACAAGGCATCGCGTAACATCCAAAATATCGAGCGCAGATCTAAGAGTTGTATGTAGTAGTTTTGTCCTGTAAAAATCACATACTCTTCTTAATGGACTCCACCATCTTTTCAACCAGAGTCTCTATACCATTGTCCTTCTGCGAAGAAATGGTTGGCTATACCAGATGCATCTTAATAAAGAGAGAAAATAATTTTTTGTAAACATGGATCATGAATTTTCCTGCAAATTGGCTGTTGCTTTTAAATGCTAATAGCGGCACTTTCGATCATGGATGCGTTATGCCTGTTTCCGCAGACTTCCGAGCGACAACTGCAAATCAGAGCGGATGCTGATTTTGGATCTTCTCTACCAGAAATATCCCTTGCTACTCAGATGCTTAAGCCACGCTGACGTCGACGTTTCAGGAACTGTCTCTGACTTTTTACATAGATATTTGATCTTCTTGAAACAGCTGCCTTCACTGACAAAGGAACAGAAGGAATTCCTTCAGGTGATG